AACTGAATAGACACTAAAATCTAGTAAAGCTGAGCAAAAAAAAAACCAAAACTAAAACCCAAGCTAGTCTGGTCAACAGGCTGTGGCTTCATAATAAAAGATACCAGATCTGTGTGTTACTGTATCTCATTTGATCCCGAGCAGATACAGGCACATAATTGCATTTCTGTCAAATTATTCAGATTAATTGCCAGAGAGTTGATGCTGTTTGTACACTGGCTGCAGCACAGAGACCCCTTAGGTCTGCCACTACAAAGGTAACCAGTCCTTCTGATGGATTTCAAGTGTCAGGGAGAGCACAGCCACGGATTTGGATTGTGTGCCCAGGATGTTTTTCTGCTCCATTCAGGGAGCCCTTAAGCTGGATCAGTCACTCGGCTGAGAAGGCAGAAGGCAGCCAGCACCTGTTTGTGACAACTGCTTCCGCTAGGGACTGGGAAGGACTCTGAGACCACGTACTCAGGTGCCAAAATAGTCCCTGCATGGAAGTGGTGAATGACTTATGCCTAGCTGGTGTAAAAGAGAATTACTTGCAGTAACTGTCAATGCACTGCAAGCAGCTGTCCCCCACTGGTGAAGACAGAGAGGTGACCTGCGTGTAAGCCCATTCCTGATATGCACCCCTTGACTGTTCCTAAGCCCTCACACTCTTGCCCACCTTTACTGACCTGATTTGAGAGGTGAGATTTCTCTAAGTGAGAAATCTGGGTTGAAGAAAAGAAACTCTTTTTAGAGTTTGTATTTAATAGTCATTTCCCTCAGGGACTACACTGCAGTTTGTTAACCTTTCAACTTGAAGCCTGTATTTTAAAAGTACATTAACATGTCATTTCATCCAGCTTCTGTGGGATTTCATGAATACAGGAGAAAGACCACAAGAAAACAAAAGTGCTTGAATGACAAACCCATGATTTCTCTTGGCTGCTTTCTGGGTGGTATTGCAGCCAGATAAGAGATTGGCTGTACGCAGCAGAAACCAGGCAAAACCACCCTTTTTAAGGTATAATAGAAACCTGTTAGACCCTTTTTTAATTCATAGCACAAAAAATAACTGCTGAGGCAAACAATTCGGCCCTCACTCCCTTTTCACAGGAGAGCTGGGAGAAGTGACAGGGTCTGCAGCCTTACCATATAAAAGTAAACCAAATGGAAGGACAATTTGTCCTTTCCTTTAGAACAAAGATTCCAAATATTGTTTTCCTTCTCATTTTGGAACATATTTAATTCCAGCAGGATCAGAAACTGAAAACACTGTGGTTTTTCAAGCAGGGTGTTGGGATGTCTCTTGCTCTCTCTATGCTTACATCTACAGGCCACGATTCTCCATCCGGCAGTACTATTTTTGACTAATGTTCTCATTTTGGGGCTTCCAACAGTTTCTGCTTTCCTGAATCCTAGGAGAGAAAATGTCTTTCACTGTCAGCAGGTTGTGCACCCTCACACCACTGGTCCACATCATGAGATTTCTTTTCCAGGAACGCTATGACTCCCTCACCGTGGCATCAGACTCTGGAGCAGCACTGCTTCAGAGCTCTGTTGTGAACTACTTTGTGAACAATCGATTGTTTGGTTTTGCCAATTACTAATGCTTTGAAATAATAAATGTGCATGCTTTGGGCATATTAAGTGTAAACAAATGCATTCATTTAATACACCAGCCTATTACACACAGCAAAGCTTCACCAAACCGACAGTTTTTGCTCAAGACAGAGAATGCAATAGAAGCAACATCATCCACCAGGCTGGGGGCAGAATAGCAAACTCGGCATGAGAGGAGGCTGAGAGGGAGATGATACAGCAGACTACCTGGCAGAAAGTTTTCCTGCCTTTTCAAGAACACCAAAGTGGTCTCCTTGAGGCAAGACGGCATCTGCTACCAGAACAAAGCCACTGGAGTCTCTTTAAGTCTACTCCATCTTCTCTCTCCATTAACTCAATTTATGAGGGCACTTTAGGGAGCATTCGAGGACCAGGCTTGGAAGCAGTAATTACTCTGCTGTCACTGGCTTAACGTCTTTACTCTCTACTTTACATATCCCATAGTGTCACTCTGACCTTGTACGTGCTTTAAATGCAGGAGTGACAGCATCAAGTTCAGGCATGTAGAAAGGAAGAAAATTTTATTTTCTCTTCAGCTGTTTGTTCCTTCATAATGGTTTCACCTCAGATCGGGACAGGACAGACTCTGGATCTGCCCAGGATCAGTGACAATTTTATGAATAAACAACACGACAACACAGTGTGTCCTTATGAAACAGCCATGGACAGAAAATTTAGCAGTACTTTTGCCAACTTCACAGCAGCAAAGAGTCCTTTCCTTTCCATTAAGGTACTTCCTAGGCTTCTTGGCAGACAAATTTTTTAGTTGCTTGAGCATGTCAACAGGCAGAGGCTGCTGATATACAGGGAATTGAGTTGGACCACTGACAGGTATGACATTAGGCACAACTAGGCAAGTTTAATGAAGAATACATATGCAGACCACTGAAGCTAAGATGCTGAGCCACAGACAGGAAGGCTCAGACACAATACTTTTCCTCATCTCCTTCAGAAAGATGTTCAGAGCCTATGGCCCGCTGCTGAGAAAGCATCAGCTCCTCTTCAAAGTTCATATAAATATAGAGGGACAAAAAAAAATCACAGCTCCTGTGGTATAAAAGGAGGTTTCTGAGATTAAGTGGATCTGTCTTGCAGAAGGTTTTGTAGGCCGGCACCTGTATTCTGTATTTGCACAGTGGTTGGTCAGCATCCGCTTATGGAACATGTCAAATCCCATTTCTTTCAGTGAAGAGGGGGCTGCTATGTTGTATACCAGTTATGATATCTCTTTGGATTTTTTAAGCTAGCATACCAAGAATTACAACTTCTCTAGACAGCACACAAGAAGAAGTAGTCTAAAAAAAAGTAAAATATTTTTCCAAGGACTTAAAACTGTAATCATTGTTTTTCTGACAGCTAAAATTGGAGTGACTAGTACAGTTTGATTCTTCAGGGCAGCCTGACACTGTGGGTGGTCACCACCTTTATTTACCAGGGATCACAACATGGGATACTGCACCTTAGAACCTCCAAGTGCTTTCCTCCTTCTCCTAGTGCTACTTTGTTTTTGGTTTTGTTTTTTTTTTTTCCTATATGTGATTTAAGGCAAATCCTGTACATCCAGGCTGCAGTTTCTTCTGAGAACTAGGATCTCTACGACCCCCTGGTTCCTGGGCTCTTCCTCTTTCACAGTAAAGATACCTGCTGCTGCAGGTGAGAAGCCTCTCCCCTTTTGGCCTCATAATTAGCTTCTTATCCTGAAATTCAGGTTCTTGCCACTCGGGAGGAGCACCTGATGATGAATTCAGATGTGACACCACCAGTCCCGCCTTTCTGAACACATGAGAAAAATTCAAACAACGAGCAATGTTTTTCTTATTCAGCACACTAACGTCTTTCACATCTTTCAGTCCCCAGAATGAAGTGCCTGACATCCTCCTTGGTCCTTCTTAGGATCAGCACCTCCAAACTCTGACTTTCCAAATTTCAACCTAACCAGAAACCCAGTCAGCACTGCAGTGTAGGCCAGCCTGTACTGTCACTTACAACATCTATATTTGCATAGGAGTGATGACAAAATCAAATCTGAAGAAATTCTTATCAGAAATCTTGGCAAGGAGAAGTAGCTACAAAACGTAATTTTGGGAACATTTTGGAAAATCACGAACAACCCTAGCCTGGCGAGGTAACACCCTTCTTGGCAGTCAGCAGCAGTCGGGCGAGTGCTGGAGCTACCAACAGCAGATTGCAAAGCTCCTCCAAAAGACCAGAAACACACAGCCAAGCACTGCCAGCCTGGGGTGCCAGAGCACAACTCCTACAACCCAGCTACCTTTCTCAAAGTCCAAACTCCTGGACTGTTTGTAAAAATCACAGTGGTGCTGTTCTTTTTGTGGGGTTTTTTTTTGGTTGGTTGATTTTTTTTAGAGACCGCAAGCTTCCATTCAGCATCCCTGGCAAAAGACTTGAGATAATTTCAGGAGTTCCAGCTGTGACTGAGCCAGAGAGTCAACCAGAGGAGCTTCTCCTCTGAGGGGACAGCAAAACCTTTGGAGTTTTGAGGCAAGTCTATCCCTTTCCAGCACACGCTTCACTTTTTTCATCACTTTGAGCTACACTTCTTTGCGTATGAGCTTTTTTTGGCTTTTTTGCTGTTGTTGTTGTTTTTTGACAGCAACCGGCCGCGGCAGGCTTCCCACCGCAGCAAGGGCAAGGCTGCTGCAGGAGAGCGGACACCAGCCGCCTGCGGCCCAGTAGCGCGGCCGGAGCACCAAGCCGAGGCCTGAAGCCAGGGCCCACCGCGCCCAACCGCCCGCCGCGCGCTCAACGGCCCTCGGCCTCTCCCCATTGGCCGCTTTTTTCCCCGCGTGACGCAGCGCCGGGCGGCGATTGGCCCGCGGCGCTACGTCAGGGCTGGAGGCGGGAGCGCTCCTCCTCGGCGGCGGCGGCGGAGAGGGTAAGGCGGGCGCTAGTCGTGCGGTTGCCATGGTGACCGGGCGGCCGTACCCGGAACTGGGCGGGCGCCGGGATGCGGCCCGGGAACGCCGGCGGCCGGCAGGTACGTGCACGCGGGCGC